CACCATAAAATTACTTAATAAATAAACTAATTGGTTCATCACCGATTTAGTATGTTTCATGACTAGTTCAATGGGTTTAAGGCCGATTCAACTGGGTTTATGGCTGGTTTAGTGTGTTTCATGACCGATTCAATGGGTTTTTATGATCGTTCATGTGTTTCATGGCCAGTTCAGTGGGTTTAAGGTTGTTTAGTAGGTTTTATAGCCAATTTAGTGGGTTTCATGGCTAACTCAGTAAGTTTATGCCTGGTTCAGTGGATTTTATGGTTGGTTTAATAAGTTTATGGCTCATCCAATGGGTTTCATGCCCAGTTCAATAAGTTCAAGGTCCGGTTTAGTGAAGTTATTACCGATTCATGATCGGTTCAACCTTCTAGCAACTTGTTGAAGGCTAGTTTAATACTTTAATGATTGGTTTAAAGGGTAATTAGACTAGTTTAATATTTTATGACCCTAGTTCAAGACTTTAGTATGTAAGATGTGAACTATTTAATTGGTTTAGTACTTTAAAATTCCAGATACGATTTCGAACACGAAAATCTAAGGGTATAGTAAGGTATTATAAGAGAATTTAATTTTAAATTAATTATGAGTTATATTAGATCCTAATATAATATAGATTGATTGTTCAACTCTTATGGAACCATATCACTGAAGCTTGAGTTTTGGGATTCTAAAATTTTATGAATAGTAATATATCTTTATATGATTCATTGTTTTTCGTATCTGCTAAATGTTGAGTTTTTACATGAATTATTTTATAAATTCAGTTATTTCGAAATTGAAATTTACTATACTATAAAAACTTGCAAGGGACGTATATGACATTATTAGATTTGTTTGGAAAATTTCTGAACCAAGTGATTATGTTACTGTTATGTCATTATGTGATTTGTTTGAGAAATTTCATAAGAAGAATTGATTTTATTATGAATACACAAATGAATACTTGTAAACTATTTATGTTATACTCAAGAAAAATATTTTAAGGGAGATCCAAACAATTAGATCACTGTAACTAATAGTAGTAAGCACCCCAACCCGGGCATGTGACCAGCACTAAGACTAGCAATCTAACCCTAGTAAGTCTCTGATCTGAAACAGAATACAAAGCCATAAATATCAAATAACATAATATCTTAAATACATCACAACCCTATTTAAGAAATAACTGGAGCAACTCTAGAGTATAAGTACAAAACAATAGAACATCAAGTCGTACATCAACTTTGACTTGGCAGGAAACGGATAACTTGATCAAAAATGCGAACTCTCATTATGATCTAGAAAATATAAAAGGATGAGTCGCAAAACCTAGTGAATAATAATATAGACTCTAGTCATGTTGGGACATAAATCGTAAAGTGTGCCAAAAATATACATATAAATATATAGTGAGTAACTTAATCAAATCACCAGATAAATCATAAAATATGCCTCATACTCTCAAGCACAGTTTACTAATTTAGTCATAAGGGAGTATCTTCTCATATCAGAATCACAACAGAGCGTATCATGTCGGCAGAATCACATATCACATATCATATCAAAATCATATAGGGATCACATATTAGAATCAGAATCACATATATCACATCATTGGACCCAGAGCACTCTCATACACTACAGCGACCCATCATCCGCTGGCTGAGCCTTGATATCCATATCAAAACCAGAATCACAATTAGAATCAGAACCAGAATCAGAATAACTCCCGTCATAAATTTTCAGAAAATAATTATAATAGAGGCATGAATTTCAATTAAACATCTGATTTCAAATAACTCACTGTAATTTCAAAATAAACGAATACGAGTCCCAAATTTTACCTTATCAAAATCAGAAAATCATATCACATCAATCATTTCAAAACTAGAATAAAATAAACATGCACAGAGTAAGTATTATCACTCACAATCTAGAATAGAAATAGAAATCACAGATCGAAGCATGTCTCCTCGGATAGATCTACAATCATAACATCACATAATTAAAACCAGAACCAAACTTCGCCAACTTGCAAGCTTTTGATACTTGAAACGAAATAGAATCCCATTTTGGGACCTCAGCATGCATCCCGAGATTCATAACCCATCACCCAAACCCACACGACTCACCAATACTCAACAATTTTACCCAACAACACCCTACAACGGTAAACCAATCTTTAAAACCCTCAAACCATAATGAACTAGTTTTCAAAACCCCTAAATTGGCCGAAATTGACCTAAAACTACCTTAAATCAAACTAATTTAACCATGAAACCCTAAAAATCAGATTTAGAAGGCCCAAAACCCTAGGAACCACTATGAACCGGTCAAAAATAGGCCAAAATAAGGCTAAACCGCCAATTAACCCTTAATTCACCTTGAACCAGGCCAGTTTAATCAAAAACACTAAATTTCTGGTCGAACCAAACCTCCCCGAACCCCTGGACCAACTTGATCTACTAGATCTTTTCTTTCTGATTCCGAAACCGGTTTAACTTTCCAATTCTGAGGTCGTTTGACCACTGAACCGGTCGATCAAACCAATTGACCGGTTCAGTCAACCCTTTTTTATTTTTATTTTTTTTATTTTTATTTCTGGCTCGGCTTGGCCCGTGGCCCATTGGCTCAGCCCAACCCTTTAGCTCAGGCTAAGCCCAACCCCGAGTCCCTTTTTTTTTATAACCTTTGGGCTGGCCTATAGCCAGGCCTGCGGGCTTCTCCGTGTGGCCGTGCGGCCTACGTGGCCCGCGCGCCCGCAGCCAAGTTTGGGCCCCATGGCCCGAACGAAATCCAGACGGGACCCAGATCATCCAGGTCCTTTCTCCCTTACCTGGTTCAACCAGGTTTACTACGACCCAATTCGAAAAAAAATTCCATAAAAATAAAAAAATAATCGAAAACACACTCACCTTGATCGATTTGTCTCCGAAATCACAAGACTCAACTAGCCAATCCTCGAGCAAGCTTTTAATTGGACTAAAAGCAACTTTTCTAGCTTAATTTGGCTTAAATTGATTGAAATGGGTGAACGGACACTGACAAAAAAAGTTAAGCAATCAGGGCACTCTGGGACAACTTTTCTTCAAATTGATTGAGGGCTTTCGTTCGTTTTGAGCCGATAAAGCCGAATTTATGCTCGATTTGTCGAGCAAAGTCCAAGATCCTCGTAGATTGGCGACTAAAGTGTCGGCGTGCCTTCCACCATTGTTGACTTGCAAACAAGTCCCTGAATTTATTTTTATTTATTACAATCAAGTCATTGAGCTCTTAACAAAATCTGATCCAATCCCTGACAAATTTATTTTAGTCCCTGAAACTTTCAATTTCTTCAATTAAACCCGTAATAAATTAAAATCAACCCCAAATCTTTTTATTCCTTCAATTAAACCCTCAGGCTATATAATCAACTTAAAAAATTTTTTAAAATCAAGGATATTGCACAAGCATTAGATTTAGTGTACCTTGGTTTGTATCTATAACTAGCAGGGGTGTTGCTAGACTATCACGTGAACTTGACATGGTAGGCCTATTTATTTATTTCCAACAGACTAAGATGTCGTCATTCTGTTATATGGATATCGGCAGACCACGAGGTTGTCATTCTATTTTCTGCTCAATTCTTTGTTACAAACTCTTTAAACTTGTACAAGTTGAAAAAGTCTAATTTATGATGAAAACTATCTAATATATATCTCTTATTCATATAAATACGTGTTACTATTTACTAGGTCGTTAGACTTATCTTTTTACTTTTTAGACTGAGGTTCATCTCACTCAACGGATTCGGCTGTTTGATAGGAGTATTCTGTTCTAGCAATCTTGCTTTCTGATCTTAGCTGTTAGTTCTAGTTTTCATCTCGAGTTAATGCGATCATTTAGTTTTAGTAACCTATTAATCAAAGACAGGATTTAGGTTGTCTAACATGTATATTGATATGAGAAAATTATGTTTAGGTATTATATTATATATTATTACTCTTTTATATTAGTTAATAGTTTTGAACATGAAAGGTTTGTGAGGTTGAGATTACCTTAACCCTAGTGTTGGTCACAAATCTAATTTTTAGGTCGTAACATCTACATTTAGAGGAGCTATTCTCACTTGAGAGTTATCATTTCTAAATATTTATAAAATTTTCTTTTCCATATTAAATAATAAAATGAAATTTTCAAACAGAGATAAAAACATTGGAATACAGTAAATATAAAAAACTAAATTATCTAAATTTGGTAACTCCGGAGGCAAGAAATCTTTAATTAGTTTCAAGCAGCATTTCAAAAATATTATTAAACATTTCTTTTTACTGCTTGGCAAAAAATATAAAGATAAAAAATATTTCCCTCTTTTTAAATTTACTTAAATAATATTTAACCCTATTCATATTATAAAAAATATTTTCTCTATTAATTAACCATTCTTTAACAATTTTGTCAAAATATATGAAAGTAACTTAATTTCACATATTTTAATTACCCTATGAATCCAGATTATGTTTTTAGATTTGTCGGACATTTTTTCAAAAAATAAAAATATTATATATATATATATATATATATGGTTTCTATTACATATCACTCCAAAGTCATACAAAATCAAACAATTCCCTTTTATTCCTTTTTTTTTTTTTTTTTTTGCCAAATATGCCCTACAGCGATAACGTAGTTCTGCCATTGTCAAAAGCTAAATAGAGCATACACCATTAAACTTCTATAATTTCACTTAGGGTTTAATCCTATTTTTAACCAATAAAAATCAAATTGCAGCGATGTCTAATCGCTAATTACTTATAAAAATAGAACTAGAGAAAGACCAAATGGAAAAAACAACTAACATATTCATCGTATGCTCAAATTCGAATATGTCCCCTGGGCTTGCCCCATATAAAGAAATAAAAAAATTTTAAAAAAACTCACAAAAATAATTCCAGGATTCGGAAAAATTACAAATGGGTAACTAAAATTTTTACCTTTTTGGGGGACAAAAAATATTTCAGAAATTTTCACCGGGCCTAGGGAGTGACTGACGAAGGCGGTGTCCTTGCCTCTAGCGGAGGAGTTTGACCGTCCGATCCCTTGGACGGATCATCGGACGACTGCCGTATCCCATCATCTGTCTCTCCTTTATTAATATCCTCAATCATGCGAACAACCTCAGGCATGGCGGGCCGCTGATCCGGCATGGTCGCTACGCACGCCATCGCGATTTGCAACAGTTGTACCATCTCCTCCTCAATGTCGTGGTACCTCATCAACTCCACGTCGAAAACTTCAGCCGTCCATTCTTCGCGCACAACCGACTGCACCCACCTCGGCAAATCTATGCCATCCTCCCAGAGACGCTTGATTGGGAGATTTACCTGTCAAAAGCTCTAATAGCACCACGCCGAAGCTGTACACGTCGGACTTAAATGTGACTCTGCGGGTCTCGACCACTTCCGGCGCACGATAGCCTGCTACGCGGTTGGGAGGAGTGGAGGAGCCGAAGAGGGGATTGAGGCCGAAGTCCGCCACGCAGGCTTCATTGTCTAGCTGGAGTAGGATGTTAGAGGCCTTGACGTTGCCGTGGACAACATTTCCCGACACGTGTAGGTGGGCGAGGCCCCGCCCGGTGCCCAGCGCTATTCTCATCCTGCTGTCCCAGTCCAGTGGGGTGCGTCCAGAGCCCCTGCTCCCTGGCAACGACACAAACCGGTGGTTACAGTCAGCAGTCTACACTAAGCCTTCTATTTTCTGTTATTTTCGTGTTCAGAAATGGAGTGCTTCTGCGAGGCACCAAAGTGGATATGGACTGTCGTAACCCATCAAACAGGTTTAGGCCTGTTTTCAAAAACTGAAAACAAAAAAGAAGATTGTTTCCAAAAACAAATACAAAAAAATTGCTGAGAAGAGAGAGATATACAGACCATGTAGAAGAGCAGATAAGCTGCCTGCAGACATGAAGTCACACACAATTAGCTTCTCGTCTTTGGAGTAGTAATAAGCTCGCAGAGGCAAAACATTTTCATGCTTAATTTTTCCCAGTATCTTCATCTGCGTTTCGAATTCTTTCTTGGTGACAACCACATCCTTGAGCCGCTTCACCACCACCGTCGTGCCCTCCACCAACACTGCCTTGTATGACGTTCCAACACTCCCTTTTCCCAACACCTCCGCCGACGCCTTCAACAGATCCTCCAAGTCAAATCTGTATACTCCAGCTTCAAAGAACACCAGCTTGTTCCTCTCTGCCTCTGCTGATCCACCAGTGATGTCATCCTTCGACGATGATGTCCCTGCTTCCGCCGCCGCTGCAGTTGCCGTTGCAGGTGGTCTCTGGGGCTTTGCCGCCTCCCTCCGCCGTCGACTTCTCCAAAAGCACAGCACGAAAATTAGGAGCAGGGGCAAAAGTAACGCCCCTCCTACTACTGCGATGAGAATAATGGCTGCTTTTGGGAACTTGTTGGACTTCGTTCTTGGTTTTTCCGGCGGAGCGGTTAATGAAGGCGAGGGGGCGGGTGAAGGGAAGAAGGGGTTACACGGCGGAAGCGGTCCGCCACAAAGATGGATGTTTCCGGCGAATGACGATGCTGGAAATTTCGAAAGTCTGGCAGGGATTGAACCGTTTAATTGGTTGTTAGACACATTAAATTTTTCCAAATTTGCTTGGATGCTAGGGAGTTGACCGGTGAAGCCATTGTTCTGCAAAAAGAGTCCGGTCAAGTGTGTCAGGCTGTTGACAGCGAAGGGTATAGAGCCAGTGAAGTTGTTGCTAGAGAGATCTAAACGTTTAGGCGAGTTAATGTGGGAATACTCTGCGGGAACTCGCCAGAGAAGCGGTTATTCTGGAGGTAGAGGCCGCGGAGGAGCTTGAGATTGGAGAAATCGGAGGGAATCACTCCAGATAGACGATTCGAGCGGATGCTGAGAACTCTGAGTTGATTCAGTTGGCCGATCGTGTTCGCCGGAATCTGACCCACAAGACCGACGCCGGGAAGCCGGAGGGAGTAGACGAAGGAGCGATTAGCGTCACATTCCACGCCGAGCCAGTTGCAGGCCGAGTCGGAGGCGTTCCATTGGAGGCGATTCTCATGAGCGATCTGCGAGAGGAAAGCAAGGAGTGCTCGCTTGTCCTGAGTCGGCTCCGAGCGCAACCGGGGACTCAGCAACACCAAATTAAGCCACAGCCCGGTAACAAGCAGTCCAACTCTCAGAAAAGCTGCCATTGATTTGGGCTTTGTACCACTAAAACAAATTGCAGCGACAGCTTGATCTTCTTACTCGTGGGCTTGAAGTGCCAGTCTGCGGCGACGACCTTGGACAAAAAGGAGATTTCCGCGACGGGCCATGAGAGCGTCACGGGGAAGAAAAATAGGTGAAAGATTGGTGAAGCAATAGCCACGCTGGGGACGGGACCAGTAGTGGTTTTAGTGAAATTTTTCGTCCCTTTTTTTTTTTTTTTTTTTGAAAAAATGATGTTTGGTTGTTTCTGGTGTTGCCACGCTCCCAAACTTGGCGCGTGACTAAACCTGCTTTAAACCTGCTAAAGTTCTTAACTGACGATTTGTTGTCGGGTACGTACGCCTGTCTGGATATGTTGGAGATCCACGCTCCTCACTCTCCGGAGGCGCGTGAACAAGGTACTTTTTAATTTAGCCCTTTAAGTGCATACTCCTCGGCGCTGGCATCAAACAAATCTAGATTGACGTGGCAAGGTAAATGAATTTTTTCCCGTTAAATTTTGCTCCAAATTACTGTTGAATTCCTGGATGTGTCAAAAAAAAAAAAGAAAAGAAAAAGCTTTTAAATAGATTGATAAGTTTAAACGGCGTTAGCAGTGTATCTCAATATTGTACGGTGGATATTTAACATAAGGACCAAATGTATTTACCTTTTGTAATTTTGGGACCATATTAATAATATATGTAATTTAAGGACGAAAATTGGAAAAAGATGTCTACTTCGGGGACCATATTAGTAATATATTTGGTTTTGATCTGTTTGGGTTCTGAATAAGAGTTCTGGAATATTCTGGATTTTTAATTATTTAATTATTTAATTATTTAATTTATTATTATTATTATTATTGTTTGGATTCTGAATAAGAGTTCTGGAATAT